CAGTGTCCTATAGCCCCAGCCAGTTGTCCCTTTTCATCTAATCTACATTGTGTCTTCACCTCAAGACATAGAGAAGCCTGGTTACTGCAATGCAGAGAGGAGTTAACATGAAAACCATCACTCATTTCATACAGGAAGGCCACGAAGGTCCCAGGGTACTGGGCATAGCATTATAACATAAAGAGGTGCCGTTCATGACTAAGGGGTGGTAGAAACAGTGAGTCTGCTTTAACGCAGAGCAGTTTCCACCTCTCTCTAAGCTTGCTCTCTTCTATCTGTGTCTCCAAGACTGCCCCATGCTCTGTCCCATTAGAAGGGGCCAGAGAGGACCAGGCAGATGACCAGCAGAACTAGAAGACATCCTCCACTTAAGAAGATGACTGAAAACAAAGTCACTGGTGGCAGTCACTCCACATGGACCTGGCTACTGTCCCAACAGGTTCTGCTTCAACCTTCTGAAAACTGTGGCTTCGCATATAATCAAGACACTATAAATCAAGGCAACCCCACTCAGAAAGCCTAAGAAAACATTCAAAGGATCTCATTTCCTAAGCTAAGCATTTTGTGGCTGATAAATCATGAGCCTATTTATATAAAATTATACGGGCTCCCCCCACTTGAGATGCTTAGGTTGAGAAAAAGATGAAGGCATGAAGGACTAAGCCATCAACTAACATCTCTAAAAGAATCATTTGCTTTGGTTCATCTGGCTTGAAATTCACATCTGATTATAATTTAGCCCATTTAAAAAGTCCTTGCTGTGTTAACACAAATTCATGTTTCATCAGTAGGTAGAAAAATCACCTTTAAATGTGGTTTCTATCTCAAACAAAGCCAGGAGAGTAATTTTAGGGTAATAGTTTTTGGCCTCAGATAAAAGATGTAACAGACACCGTTACCTCTATTTCCTGTCAAGAATGTGTATGTACATCTACAATGCAAACCTGGTGGTCACATGCTAAGCCGTAAGGGCATTCTTAGTCCCAGAACTGTTAAGAATACGATTCTACCTGAATTAAAATGTATCCACTACAGTTGCATAGTGAGACTGTGTGTGTTTGCCTTTCTGGATGGTTCTGTGGACTGCTTCTTGCACTGTTTACTCTGAAAAGTTGAAACTTGTTTTTCTTAAGTTCAAGGAACTTGGATGTCAAAGGTACAGCATATCCATCTGCCACAGGATAGTCAAGCTTTCCTGAAAGTTTACTGATGGTTTTGTTTCCTGCCAATTGGCAATAGTTTATGAAGTTCTACATGCTCAAGTCTGAGGGACTCATTCTGAAACACATAATAATAAAAAAAACATACAATAAATTAAAAAAACTTTTCTAGGAGACCATTTTGATTTTGCTAAGTCTGTATAGTTTGATCCAAGGACTCTTAAGAGTTGAAATCCTAGTCCCTAGCTAACAGTGTTAGTGAGTGATGGCAGAGCTTTTAAAAGGTGGAGTCTGACAAAGGAAGTCACGGTATTGTAGACACACCCTTCGGAAGTATGGCCCCATTTCCCCTCCCTTCCTTCCTGGCCTCTGGGAGGGGAAGAGGTTTGCTCAACCATGTCTTCCTCACCACGATGCTCTGCCCCAGGCCCAAAGTAATGGGGCCAAGCGACTGTGGACTGAAACCTCAGAATCCCCAAGTCAAAATAAATCTGCCTCAGGATGTTGGGTAGCTGACTAATGCAATCTTTTGATTTGGGAAATATTGGAAAGTAATTCTTTCCTTTAAGGGTTTTTTCTTTCATTTTCTGTGTGTTTTTGACTGCATGTATTTTTAAGTGCATATGTGCATACAGTTCCCTCAAAGACCAAAAGAGAGTGACAGATGCCCTGGAACTGCAGTTACAGACAGTTGTCAGGGGCCATGTGGGTGCTGAGAATCAAACCTAGGTCCCCCAGAAGAGCAGCCTTTGCTGTCAACTGCCGAGCCATCTCTCCGGCTCTGGAAAGTGATTCTTGGACTCATCTTTTTTAGAGAATATGATCTCCCGGGGACTTTTATCTTGGGGGAGTTATTTCATGATGCATACAGTTCAGAAATTTAATGTCATAATCAGCAACAAGTAGCATCCGCATAATGGCATATATGTGGTACACAGGCATCTTGTAGAATAATTTGACCCTTAATAGCATGGCTTACTTCTCCCTACTTGAAACACCTGGGCCTCAAAAAAGGAAAAATTGTTGGCAAAATGTAGTGAGCTGAGAAACATACCGTAAACAAAAGCAGAGAGGAAAAAATGATGTGCGAATTAAGAAAGTTTAGATTTAGGCACTTACTCAAACATTTAACGGAATCTAAGAAAGTGATGTACTAAACAACGCAAAAGAACTAGGCAAAATTTTGAGAAGCTCAAATAGCTGGAATATGATTTCACTGATTGTCCTTTAAACACATGCATGCAAACTAGAGACACTCATGGGAAGACCTAAGCTATGATTATATTTTATTGCCTTGCATTTTCTTACAGTATAGATACATTACTTGAGAATGACTCCTGGGTGCTGGCGAGATGGCTCAGCATAAGTGTTTCCTGGGCAAGCTGGAAGGAAAAGCCAACTCCCAAACGTTGCCCTCTGATCTCCACATTCACACACACGCCTACGTACACTCAACAAATAAAGTTTTTCTAAAAAAAAAAAAAAAACCTTCCAAACAGTATATACTCTTACACACAGAAGTAATACCAGTTAAAGCCTTTCTTAAACCTAATTATATCTTACAGTATTTGTGAAAAAAATATGAAATGCTGTGAATTAGTTGTTGTTCGTGGATCTAATTAAAGCCAGGTGCATATTTTAAAGCCTGCCTTCCAAACGGCATCTCGAGACTGCCAAAGTCAAACTGAATGTGCATTTTCCAGCCCTCTCTTTAGGCCCCAACACCTAACATTCTGGTAGGACCTCCTTCCAGCCCTGTCTCTAGCAGCCTGACTCTCCAATCCCTGATGCTGGCCCTTACCACATTAAATGTCTTCCGCTTAATTGTACCTACTGGGTGGCTAGAAACAGAGCTGCACAGCTGCGGGCTTTCAAAATAAGCACCTTTGCAAGAATAATGACCATCCAGCAAAAATGATTTTGAAAACTAGGGTGCTAGCTACGTGCTGGGTTTTTACAGCAAGAGCTGTGTGCAGACAAGGGCCACACTCTACATGAACCCTGAGAACACAACTCACACGGGATCATGGGACGTAACCGGGCACTAAGTCTGGCCCATCCACCACAAGGAAGCAGTCACTTAAACTTCAAGCAAGCATGCTGTAACAAATGCTGCGAAATCCTTGTCAAAGGTTCCAAGAATGTAATAAATCAGAAAATATACAGAGGCGCAGGTAGCCCCCTCGTCAAGTAGCTTTAATGAAAGATAAAAACACACAGAGTTCCTCTGTGGATAAACTAAATACCCCACCCCCAGGAAAGGAAAGGGGCCCTGTCCCTCTCAGCCCTCTCCTGATGCTGAAATGGAGGGAACCTAGAAGAAAATATCCCCATTCAGGCAATCAGCCATTTGCCTCCTGCTGTAACCAAACCTCCCCAGTTGACGTGAGTGAGGCAAAGAACAGAAAGAGAGAGAACTGGGGGGGGGGTTGCTTTGCTTTGGTTTTAATTATTTGGAGGATTTATAGTTAAGGCAGAAAAATCAATACGGATTCAGAAAACTCTCTAAAGATATTAAGTGAAAGAAATCTGCAAGTTTCTCCACCGTCACTTTTCCCCCCAACATTAAAAAAAATTACAAAAGAGAAAATAAACAAAATACCCTATTTTTAAAATTAACATTCCACCTTCCTTGGAGTACAGCCTGTACCTCTCAACACGACACACGAAATAAAGGTCATGTTCATGTAAAAGTGATTAGCCTAAGGAATAAGGTTAATATTTTCCTATAGTAAACTGTTTTGTGGAAATCTCATTCATTTGCAGGGTGTCTGGAGAGATTATAAAAAAACACTTTCAGAGGTATAACATGAGTTGTTACAAAAGGTATCTCTATCAGTTACACAGAGGATTCAACACCTCTCTGTGCTATGTGAGACTATGTTGTTCGTGTGTGTGTGTGTGTGTGTGTGTGTGTGTGTGTGTGTGCGCGTGTGTATGCATGAGGGTTCTGAGCCCAAGGCCTGCTGGGGATACAGAGTGAGTTCAAAGCTACAATGAGTAACACAGCCTGTCTCAAAATTTTCAGCAAGATTGTGGAGAGTTGCTCAGCGGTAGAGTGCTTTCCCAGTATTCAAGAAGCCCTAGGGACCCATCTACAGAATTGTTAAATACTTACATTTATTTATACACACACACACACACACACACACACACACACACACACACACACACACACCAGTATGGAGAGAAGGCAAAATCCTATCTTATAAAATCCTATCTTATTCTGGTAAACACTTTTTATACTTCTCAGCAAGCTGTAAACATCTCCCTTTGAGAAACGCTGCTAAGAACTCCTTCAGATGTAAGCCAAATGTGGAGGCTGAAAATACAACTAGAGTTACGTGAAGAGTTCAGAGGAATTCATGTGCTTCACAGGGAAAGGCTGGTACATGCTGGCTATCAAGCACATGAGGAGACAATGAGCTTCCTAGAACCATGCCTGAGGCCTATCCTTAAGATCCCTCACATTCTCCTCAGTGTGCCTATCTCCACCAGTGAAGCTTCTGTCTCCTGCTGTGACCTAACTTGGAAGGTGGTGGCTTTAGAAGGTAGAGACTGTCCAGGGTGGCAGCCATCTGGAATGCCATGGTGAAGAGAATGGTTGTCCTCGCAAAGGAGGCCTCCTCAGTGCTGTCATCGTGTGAGGGGGGACAGCCAGGGGACAACTCCCCAAACCATTAAAGTGACGCAGAACATAATGGGGTCTTGACCTTGTCCTCTCAATCTCCAGACCAGCAGTTCTCAACCTTCCTAATGTTGTGACCCTTTGATACAGTTCTTTGTATTGTGGTGACCCACAACCATGAAATTACTTTTGTTGCTACTTCCTAACTGAAACCTTGCTATTGTTATGAATCATAATGAAAATATCTGATATGTGGCCTCCACACAAGGGTTGTTTGAACCCGGAAAGGGGTCACAACCCACAGGTTGAGAATGCCTGCTTCAGATGATGAGAATAACATCCTATCATTTGTAAGCTCCTGAGAGTTTACTGTATGTTCTTCAAGGGCTTGATGGGGGTCTCCAATCTTCACTGCGTTACACATCACCATCATCAACAAACACGCTGGGCGGTGCTCACAGCTATCTGAGCTGCCTGTGAGCCACAGGTCATAGGACGGGCATGCCTGTCAAGCATCTCCCATAGTCATATTTTTTTTCTTTTTTCCCTGCAAGTAAGATGGATCTACTTTCTAGGGTTGGCCAAGAGAAGTGGCCCAGAGGGAGGAGTCCCATATGGGAATGGAGGTGTCCTACCCTCACTAACCTTCTTGACTGGGCATCTAAACCAAGAATGAGGGAAGGCATGCATGTGGTCCCTGCAGAACTCACTGCGTTGAGTTGATGTGAGGCAAGAGCTGCAGCAAGTGGGCATGGGAAGGGAGGACACTCCAGGGGAGGAATGACTGCCCTGATCTTTGAAAGAAGGGAGAAGCGAGAAAGCAGAAAAAATCTGAAGCCATAACGGCAAGTCTGGTTCTGGTAGGCCCGACGGCAAAATCAGCGTCTTAAAAAAACGAATCCATCTAGTGTCCGTGGTGAAGTGAGATATCCCCCGGGGATTCCACAGGCATATGGTTGTCATCCGCACTTTGCAGCATCGTGGTCTGTCTGTGAATCATAACAGACGCTGGCTTTGCCTGACAGTTAATCTCAGAATCTTATAAAATGGCGAGGGGTGGGACACATTGGAAAAGAACCTTAAACTCTAAGGTGAGTGAAGTCACTTTTATTAGAGAAACATGGAGTGATTTCCATCAGGCGCTGGGTTCATAGACATCTTCTCTGATTCTGGTGTGGTTCCCAAGTCTCTCTTTCAAGTAGAGGAAACTGCACTGGCTTCTGGGAGTATCCATTTTTGTGAGAAAAGGACATGTACTCTTCCTTCCTCTATGTGCATTAAATTTCTTGCCAGTAAGGGAAACTTAAGGTCCAAAAACTCTTTAATCAGGAGGGAAAATCTTAAAACAAGACTCTTTGTGTATATGGAGGGAGCCATGTGCACGTGAGTATAGTTGCCAGAAGAGAGTACCAGATCCACACAAGCTGAAGTTATAGGTGATCATGAACCATTGTGGGTGCCAAGAACTGAACTCAGGTTCTCTGGAAAAGCAATATATGCTCTTAACCACTGAGTCATCACTCCAGCCCCCAAGAAACTTCCTCCTAATGGTGATACCAGAGATCCAGAACTCCAGTATGAGGCCCGGACAGGCCCACAGAAGTCCTTGGCAGGAAAATTACATCCACTCATGGAAGGGATGAGCACTTAGCTTCACCCAGCAACTGCACTGGTTTTCCAGTATAAATAAAAGATTATTTCCCACCTGCGAAAAACCAGTCGTCTCGGACTCTTCTAAGGCTGTTAACATCAGGTGTTCTGTGGCACACTCAATTCTCTAACCGAGGACAGCACACCGATTCATAATCCCGATGGCGGCTGATAGCTTATTGCCGATCGCATGTGAATCAATGGATTTGTAGACTCTCTGAGAAGACCCATGAGCGGGTGAGGATAGGAGCAAAAGCTGTGAGCAACACAATGACTGGGAGTTTGTTATCAGCTCTCCATCAGCTAAACTGCAGAGCCTTTCCCGACCTTTGTTCTTCTGTGACACCCCACTAGACCTTCAATTGCTCTTATATGACACCCCCAAACTTTCCTTCATTCTTATGTGACCCCCACTAGGTCTCAACCATTGATGTATGCTGATTCCCTCAGAAGAAAATCCTGGGATGGGCATGAGAGTCAAAGCCACTTATTTATTTAAAATGCACACACACACACACACACACACACACACACACACACACACATCAAGGCTACTGGGAGGGAGGAGGCAGCCTGCACAGTGGTGAGTGGGCTCTGTCACAGCCACGGCACCAATTTTTGAGGGGCACTCCTCAGAGTCAACAGCAAAGTCCCCATCACAGTCCTACAGGGGACTTGGAAGGTGTATGCCCTGCACACCCTTCCCTCCTCTCTCCTTCCATAGCTTCATGGCAGAAACTTTAAGCAAAACCAGAAACTATCACTACTAAACTATTCAAGGAAATAGTATTGGGTTGTACTGTGACGACTCGATGGTCAGAAGCACACTCTGCTCTTCCAGATGACCTGAGTTCGATTCTCAGCACCCATGTCTGGTGGTTCACAACTGCCTATGACTCCAGCCTAGAGATTCAACACCTCTGGCCTCCACAGGCACCTGCTCTCCCATGTACCTACAGACAGACAGGCATGCACATACATCCATTCATACATATGCACACGTACACACACACACACACACACACACTTAAAATGTTTAAATAAATCTAAAAAATAAAAACTACGCCAGGCAGTAGTGATGCATGCCTTCAATCCTAGCACTTGGGAGGCAAAGGCAGACAGATCTCTGAGTTCAAGGCCAGCCTGGTCTACAAACTGAGTTCCAGGACAGCCAAGGCCACAAAAAGAAACCCTGTCTCTAATTAATTAATTAATTAATTATATTTGTTCATTTTTAGTTTAATAACCTGGAGTTTTTTCAGGAAACACACACACTGGGAAATATCTCTAGAGTATGTGTCAACTTCAAACCTCGAATAAGAATTTTCTTTCATTGAAGATGACTCTGGGCACCGGGCTCATGTGACTTTTAATCAAGTAGCTATGAGAAACGTTTTCTACATTGTTTGAGAAAATCAAAGCTTCTCATGAAGACAGGGACATCAAGGAGATGGAGAACCCTAGGAGACTGTAGGCACAGGTAAGTAGTATGACATTCTAGAGAAAGCAGTGCCCCCAACTGGGGGCCAAGTGTTCAAATACCTGAGCTTATGGGGGACATTTCTCATTCAAACCACCAGATTTATCCCATTTAAAATGTATCTCTCAGATAATACCTTCATATCATGTGCACCCAGCAATACATACAGCCACTGGTATACAGAGATACAGATGCATGCATGGATCAGGAGACACACACTCAGACAACCAGAAACCCATGTCCATATGTCTGTGCTTAGATCAGGGAACTCACTGATGTAATGCCCAGAAAACGAACCGCCACAAAGGTACAGACCTACTGTGTGTTCTGCTATGATCACCAGTGAATCTTTAATGCTAGGTAGGACTTTTGTCCTCACTCAGAAACAGTCCACAAGACGAAGACCCACCAACCATCACATCCCAATGAGCTGTAGACAATCGTATAAGGACTGTGTCGAAGCCTGGGTGTAAACAGACCACACAGACTTCTTCAACTTCTCCTGCAAAGGCAAAATACTGCGGGGGAAGAAAGGAAAAAATAGCAATGCCACAATCCATCCTAAATACCTGGCTCTCTTCATACAGAAAACCACAACTGTGAGTTATTGTTCTGGTTCACACAACACTAAATCACACTTTACCTCTACAATGTGTCGTTACCATTTTCAAAGTTAAATCAGTAAGTTGAACTTTAAATCAGTAAGTTAAATCAGTTAAGTGAGAGCAATGAATTAATACATGCCAGTGTTCGGTGGGCTTTCTTCCTTACATTCAGTCCAGGGTCCAGCCTATGAAATGGTGTCACACGCATTCAGGGTAGGTCTTCCTACTTTAATCAACTCGGTGAAGAAAAATTCCTCATGGGCATGCCCACAGGCCAACCTACTTCAGGAAAATCCCTCAGTGACTTTTCCCTCCCTTTGGTTTCTCGAATCAAAAGGAAGTGTCACGGGAGGTGAAAGAAATTATCGAGTTGGAAAATGACTGATTTTGCTTGTTCTGAAATGAACAGAGGCAAACAGGACTGCTGGGATCAGAAAATGAATAAGCTACCTTCTCTCCTACTATCAAACACTCCTGCACTCATTCATTAAAACTGATCCAGGGAACAGGGAACAGGGGATATAGGTCAGTTTGGTAGGGTGCTTGTTTGCATATATGAAACCCTGGCATTCCAGCAACACACTGGCATCACACTGTCATCGCAGCATTTGGGAGACAAAGGCAGGAGGATCAGAAGTTCAAGGTCATCTTCTGCTACATTGTGAACTCCAGGCCAGCCTGGGGCAGCCTGAGGCTTGAAGCACACAAAGAAAACACTTAAACAGATTCCACAGCCCACAACAATTTGCACAACAGTTTCCTGGGTTTTGCACTAAAAGCTCTACATCATTAGAAAACTCAAGGCCTAATCTAGAAGACAGTGAGAAATAAAGAGGAAAAAATAATGAGTCATGCTCCCTGTACTCCCTGAGCTTCCCTGACCAACAGGAGAAATGAAAAATTCATTAACAACCAGTAAGATAGATGGCATTAATGCCATCAAGCCATGGAACTCATCCCCAAAGACCTGGCTCTAGAGATAATGACTCACAATACAGGCACTGAAAGCCAGATCAACAACTTGCAGAGAGAGGTTCCTCTTCCCAGACTCTACTGAAGATGCAAGAACTCCCCTGCCCAGCCTTCCATCCCCTGCCCAGCCATCCACCCAACACCCCATCAATGCAAGGGGAAGGGGAACTCAGGACCTGGTCAGCCTCTGAGGTTAGTGTGTTTCATGGTGAGAAACTACTTCTTTCCTTCGCTGACTTGAAGACAAGAGATATGAGAGGAAACGGGAAAGCAAAGTCTGTTTCAAATATCAGTAAGGAATACCCTGCATTTTACCTCACAGGAATAAGACTATCAAACCCAGCACAGCTAAGAAAAGTTATCCTGAGACACTGTGTGTAGTCTATGTGCAGTACTTCATGTTTACATCTCAAGCAGAGATCTGAGCGCTACAGGACAGTAACAATCATGAGCTCTGACAATAGTATAAAGTAGAATTATGAAGCGGTCTGAGCGCATCCAAGTAGAGTCTTCTACACAAACCCAAAAACTATGATGGACTGTTTCCTAAAGGTGGGTATTGATTAAATAAGGTTCGTTCACTAAGCAAAGGCAGCAAGAGTGGGGGGAGACAGACACTTTGTGGAGAGAAAGCAGAGTGGAGGTAAGGCGGGGGTTGGCAAAGAATGAAAGGGACATGGAATGTGGTAGTTTTATAGGTGCGCGAGTGTTTGAGCACTTGGTTCCCAGTTGGTGGCGCTAACTGTGGAGGTGATGAAACCCCTTTGGAGCCTTGCTGGGGAGGGTGCACCTCTGAAGCGGGATTTGAGAGTGCATAGCCTTTACCACACTTCCGGCAAGCACTCTCTCTCCCTCACTGTTCCCTCTCTTCCTTCTCTCCTTCCTGTGTGCTGAGGAAATGTGATCCACTTCCTGCTCCTGCCAGCATGTCATACCTTCCCCTCCATTACAGACTAACCCTCTGGACCCATCTAAAATAATAATAATAATAAATAATAAACAATAATAAAATAAACCCTTTCTTAAGATGATTTTGACCATGGTTATTTTATCACAGCAACTAGCACACAGCGCAAGGCAGGAGGGGGGGCCTCTTGGAACCACATACGTTTTTATTCTAAAGTCTTTCAGAAGGGAATTAGATCCTGCATATCTACATGTTTAAATGACCACTTCAACCAAAGTGTGGGGAAGATAAGTCAAAGAGCGTACTAGGAAAAAAGTCCCCGCGGTGGATGGCTCAGTCAGTACACAAAGGTGTCTCGCTGTCAAGGGGGCAGAGAAATATTCTTAGAAACAGAATCCACACAAAGAGACGGTAAGTGAGATCTAGAAAGTGAAGGAGAAGAGGTTAATTCAGCTGATCAAGTGTTTGTGTCGCAATGTATAAAGCCAGGGGTTCAACCCCCAACTGCCACATAAACCGACTACATAGAGTGGTGCACTCCCGCCATCCCAGCCCTTGGGAGGTGCAAGCAAGGGCATCCAAAGTTCAGTGTGGCTACACAGAGAGTTAAGGAATATCCCGGGCACCCTTTTCCTGCTACCGGGTTGCCTGCTCCAGCCTTAATAGGAGAGGAGGTGCCTAGACTCGCTGCAACTTGATATGCCTTGGATGGCTGATATCCACGGGAGCCCTGACCTTCCTAAAGAGAAATGGAAGAGGAGTGGATGGATGGGGGTGTGGAGAAGGGACTGGGAGGAGAGGAGGGAGTATAATGTGCAGCTAGGATGTAAAAACTAAACAGAAATAAATAAAGAAAAAGAAGGAAGGCAAGAGACAAAAAGAGAAAGAGAGAAATACTATATATATATATGTATATATATATATTAACTTACAAAAAAAAACCATGAACTTAAAAAAAGTCTGACTCGGGTGGTGGTGGTACACCCCTTAGATCCCAGCACTTGGCAGGCAGAGGCAGGTGGATTTCTGTGAGTTCGAGACCAGCCTGGTCTACAAGAGCTACACAGAGAAACCTGTCTCAAAAAAAAAAAAAAAAAAAAGGTCTGGGCTAGAGGAGGCCATGTCTAGTGGATGTGAAATTAAGAATTCTTGATTCCATGGAGTTCAGCCTGTTTTCAACTATCTGTGCGTAAGAAAACAGCAGAGAACGAACAGGTTAGGGATTGGTAGGGATTGGGGTTCACTTTAAGTTATGGATATACACACATATACACTGTGGCAGGTAGACCAGC